CATCCCTTGATCAGTCATATCAGGTGAAAACTGCCCTCAGTAATGACACCTCCTCCATCTGCAAACCCTGGGAAGAAATTCATTTCCTACTGAAATAACAGCTAACAATGTGTAGGTTTTGTCCATGTGCCATATCTGCTCTAGGTGCCTTGCGTAAACCCGCCCCCTGAAACCGTGTTCCATTATTCTCCCTACTCTCCCTACCTTCTAACTAGTTCTGTGTCCTCACCTACGAGGACACAGAACTAGTCAGTGATGACAGTAACAGGAAACGGTGCATCGGAGACCTGAGCCCCACCCATTTCTCTCCACACCTCAAGAGAAGCTCCTGAGATGCTACCCTCGAATTCCTAGTCTTCCCTTTTTTCACTATGAATGTTTTTAAGCTTATTCTTTCCAAAATAAGCCTTAAAATGCACAAATTAAAAATCTGAGGCCGGGCACGGTGGCTCAAGCCTGTAATCCCAGCACTTTGGGAGGCCCAGGCGGGTGGATCACGAGGTCAAGAGATCGAGACCATCTTGGTCAACATGGTGAAACCCCGTGTCTACTAAAAATACAAAAAATTAGCTGGGCATGGTGGCGTGTGCCTGTAATCCCAGCTACTCAGGAGGCTGAGGCAGGAGAATTGGCTGAACCCAGGAGGCGGAGCTTGCGGTGAGCCGAGATCGCGCCATTGCACTCCAGCCTGGGTAACAAGAGCGCAACTCCATCTGAAAAAAAAAAAAAAATCTGGAAACTCCAGCTAAAAGATTCCTTCTAATGTATTATACTAATGACACGAATGAGCCTCAACATAATTAACATGAATATCAAACATTCCACATGCATCTTAAAATAAATCTCAATCAACCCCTGACTTAGAAAATCCATTTGAGAAAGAAGCTGGATAATTTAGTGAAAAGGCAGGCAGCCAACCATCCAACATCTCCCGTGCTTGCTGTTCACATCTGTTCACAAAGACCAGGAGATCCACAGAGGAAGGGAAGGACACTTTATTTTTAGAGGGAGATACAACCTACAGATTGGGGAATGTGGCTTACAGGAAAAACCAAAAATGCAAACGCTGCAGAAGGGTGAAGGGAGCTGGCATCTGTGTCTTACAGAGTCAGCCTTATGTACATATTGAGCAGTGTTGCAGAGGATCTATTAATATTTATGAGGAAATTCAGGCATGTATGCAGTGGATAAACATGTATGTATCACACATTCATGTTCACTTTGGGGTGGAATTCAGCTCTTTACATCAACACTATTGTGAACTATAGGGCACAAAGATACCTGATATGCAGTTTCTATAAGCTGGTGAATACTGGCTTCAAGTCTGCAGTTGTTTATCAATAAAGAATGTTTGTAAGACTGGTCCTGGCTGGCACAGTGGCTCACACCTGTAATCCCAGTACTTTGGGAGGCCAAGGTGGGCGGATCATGAGGTCAAGAGATCAAGACCATCGCGGCCAACATGGGGAAACCCCATCTCTACTAAAAATACAAAAAGTAGCCAAGTGTGGTGGCACACACCTGTAGTCCCAGCTACTCAGGAGACTGAGGCAGGAGAATCACTTGAACTCGGGAAGTAGAGGTTGCAGTGAGCTGAGATTGTGCCACTGCACTCTAGCCTCGTGACACAGCAAGACTCCATCTCAAAGAACAAAAAAAAAGGCCAGTCCTTTGTCCAACGGAGTTGTAGTAAGACCACAAGGCGTTGCTGTGGTGGGGGGAAGGAGGGAGGGAATGTTTCTGTTGGCTAGGATCAGGCAGTCTAGTGGGGTCGATTGGAAATTTTCCAGCTGAAGTTGTGTTTGTAATGCTTTTTTGAAGCTAATTTCTGCTTAATAGCAGTTAATAACACAAGAATATGTAACGAGCACATCCTGCTGGCTGTGACATTCTGGTTTGGGGGCATCTCATTTTAGGAACCAGGAGTTCATTTTGTCCATCTGTTGGAGATTATTTTAACAAGCCAAATAATATCACTTTTTGATTTGATTAATGTTGATTTAAAGACATGAGACCCAGGCGACAAACTTCACTGAGACCTCCAGATGATCTTATGATAAATGATACCAGAGTGTATGTTTTGATTTACATAACTTTACAAATAACCTAAAATGACAGATAAAGACCCGTGTTTACTGTAGAATGATGGGAATGATTACCACAGTAACTGCAGTGGGTTGAATATTGTTCCCCAAAATTCCTGTTCACCCAAAACTTCAGCATGTAACCTGAGGGTCTTTATAGATATAATCTGTAGGGTCTTTACAGATGTGATCAGTTGCGGGGGTGGGGGGTCTTGTGATTAAATCATTCTGGATTTAGGACGGGCCCTTAGTCCAATGACTCGTTCTCCTTATGAGAAGAGAAGACAGAGAGACACAGAGAATAACGCCCTGTGAAGATGGAAGCACAAACTGGAGTGGTGTTGCCAGAAGCCAAGGAATCAGGAGCTGCCAGAAGCTGGAAAAGTCCAAGGATTCTCCCTAAGAGCCTTCAGAGGAAACATGGACTTTCAGACAACTTGGTTTCATACTTCTGACCTCCAGAAATGTGAGAGGATCAAGTTCTACTGTTCTAAGCTCCCAAGTTCATGGTAACCTGTTACAGCATCCCTAGGAACTTAAGAACCTAATATAGAGGGATAAAGGCTACGTTTATTATGAAGCATGATGGAGATGACCACCAGAATAGCCAAAGGCTCTTCTCCTTCTATTGTATACACAGAAAAGAACACCCCTTCAAAAGCAAACGTAAAGGCTGAGCGCAGTGGCTCATACCTGAAATCCCAACACTTTGGGAGGCCGAGGTGGGCGGATCACTTGAGGTCAGCAGTTCAAGACCAGCCTGACCAACATGGTGAAGCCCCGTCTCTACTTAAAACACAAAAAGAATTAGCCAGTATTGTGGCTCACACCTGTAATCCTAGCTACTCAGGAGGCTGATGTAGGAGAATCACTTGAACCCAGGAAGCAGGGGTTGTGGTGAGCTGAGATCACGTCACTGCACTCCAGCTTGGGTGACAGAGTGATATGTCTCAAAAAAAAAAAAGAAAACCTATTCAGTTGCAACAGAAAGATTCAAGGGCAGATTTGCAGAGTCTTCTAATCATGTATGCAGACTGGGAAAAGCTGGTAGAAAAGAGGAGGAAACCATTCTAAAGAGCCCTACCTTTCAGTTCCTCCAGTCCTGAGCACCAGAGTTGGATGCTTCCTCAACAGCAAACCTCCGCTCTTCTTACTGTCATGGGACCAACAGCAGCCCCCAAGCATCAGCCCATCTTTCCAGGAATGTCAAGGCTAGGGCGACACTTGTCTAATGTTTGCCTACCTGAGAATGTTGCCCCACCCCACCCCCACCACCAGCAAAACAACCAGCACCCATGTTATATGTTATATGGATAACTCCTTACCTAAGGAGTTCTAGAAATGCATGGCCCTCCAAAACTCAGGTTGAGCCATGCATTTCTAGAGGAAGAAATGGTGATATGGAAAGTTTTGTCCTACACGTCTACCAAAGAAGGATTAAAACCAATTTGAAAAAAAACACCCATTTCTCCTTTTATATAAAAACCAAATGCAGAAAGTATAAAGAGAAATGTAATAAGCTGGACTCTACACAAACACCAAAATACACTGTAAACAAAATTAGAGGTAACTGACAAACTGAGGAAATCCTTACAACGTGTATCATAGGCCAACTTTTCAAGCATCAAAAGTTCTTACAAAACCAATTGTTCAAAGATGAATGCCAAGTTTTAAAATGGATAAAGGACAGGAATATGCACATCACAGAAAATGGACAAATGGCACCACAGACATGGAAAGAAGTCTATTATTCCTACTGGACAAGAAGTGAATACAATTAAAGATGCCAATTTTTGACAATAAAATGGGCAAAAAAAATTTAAGAATCTCCAATGTGAGCCAAGGACTGGGACACTTGGTGGAAGGCAGTTTCCCTCCACCCTTAGAAAGCCTCAAAGTGCGGTGGCTCACGCCTGTAATCCCAGCACTTTGGGAGGCGAAGGCAGGCAGATCACAAGGTCAAGAGTTAGAGACCATCCTGGCCAACATGGTGAAACGCTGTCTCTACTAAAAATACAAAAATTAGCTGGGTGTGGTAGCAGGTGTCTGTAGTCCCAACTATTCGGGAGGCTGAGGCAGAAGAATCGCTTGAACCCCGGAGGCAGAGGTTGCGGTGAGGCAAGATCACGCCACTGCACTCCATCCAGCCTGGGCGACAGAGCGAGACTCCGTCTCAAACAAGACTCAAAGTGAGCATATGCTTTGGCCCTGCAACCTCACGTGTAGGAGTTTATCCTAAGGAAACAGTCAGTGGTGACCTCAAAGATTCATCTGCAAGGATATTCAACATGGCTTTGATACAGGGAAAAAAAAAAAGGAAAGAAATAGAAGGAAATAATGTAAGTCTTCCTAAATTATGCCACACGCCTACGTTGTCATTAAAAAGCACCTATAACTCCATCATCTAGGTGATTTTTACTTCTGCTTTGTACTTGCCTGCACATTTCTAAATTCTCTATGCTAAATATGCCTATTTCTGCCACCAGATTTTGTTTCACAGAGAAAAACCCGTCTTAAAGGGCTAATAGGGGCACTGTGCTCTCAGTCCCCTGCTTCTAGGGCATGGACCAGGCGTCTACACCTGCTGCCTGGCAGCCTACCGCTGACTCAAGCCACCTAAGGCAGGCAGAGCCTTAAGAGGGCGAGAGAGCGCCCGAGCGCGTGAAGCAGCACAGGCTCCCTCTTTCCCGGTGCGGCCTAGAGGAAATGCAGGGTCCCCGACCCCGACCAGGGACAGTGGGAGGTTCGTTCACAGACGTCTACACAAGCAACTCACTTCCTAACACCGAAGAAAAACGCGAGGCCACACTGACCTCCAGGGTCCCAACACGCCCCTGACCGTCGCGGCGTCTGCGACTCGAGTGCGCATGCGCGCACCCAGCCCCAGCAGGCCTGCTTCCCAGAAGGCCCCGCGCGTGGGTTTCCCTAGCGACGCGTCGGCGCTGCGGACTTGGCTCAGTCGCGGGAGCCGCGCAGTGCAGGTAACTAACCCACAGCAGTAGTCCCACGCAGCCTGTTGCCGTTACAGCCCCAGCGCTGGTCCCGGGCGGACCCGCCTGCTACGCTCCTTCTGGGCATCGGGTGTCGCGGGTCACTCCGTCCTCGCTCCTGCCGTCCCACCTTTTCCTTCCCGCGATGCGGTTTGGCGTGGAACAGCTGCCTCGGCTTGGCAGTGACTGGGCGCTCCGGCGACACAGGGACTCTCAGGCCTGCTGGGCCGGGGGACGGCCTCGGCCGAGGTGACCTAGCGTTCCCGGAGCCGCGCCTAAGTCCCGCGAGAGAGCAGAGGCGATCTCACCGCCGCCCCACCGAGGGGCTTTCGGTTTTTTCTCTCTGAATCTTAGACCTCCGGTTTTCCTTCGGTTTAGTTGCAATTTTGTTTTGGATTTTTTTTTTCTTTCAAACCTTAGCGCTGACATCTCCCTATCTCGTAGGAATCTAAATCTTTTGAAATGTCTTCTCTGTGTTTGTCCCCTACTCACCCAGCCTCGGGGCTGTTTGTCCACACCTTCCCTTCAGCGTTTTAATGTTTAACGTTTCGTTGCCACACACAAGCCAGCCGTTAACTTTTTTCAGAGACCAATTTTTTTTCACGGCTGAATGTGAGCTTGAGCCTTTTTTCTGTGTACACTCACTCCATAGATGAACTCATCCAGTCTCATGTGCTCAAAGACTATCCGAATGCCAATGAGCCCTAAGTGTGCATCTCCACCCCTGGCCCCTCCCCTGTACACCAGACCCTGCATTCAGCTGCCTGCGACATCCCTATTTGGATGTCTACGGCATCTCAAACGCAGCTCGTCCAAGATAGCTCTCAGTAATTCCCCAGCCCAAGCCTGTCCTCCCACACTCGTAACACACCCTAGTTATTGGAAATTCCATCCTCCAGCTGCCCGAGCCTTGCATACTGCTTGAGACCTGTTTTTCTCTTCCTCACCTTCAGTCTGTCAGCACTTCCTTCAAAATGCACGCAGAATAGATCACAGTTCTACCGTTTCTCTCAAACCCCGCTGTCACCACCTTGGCCCAGGCCCCCATCATCTGGGGCCTGGATTATTTTACTTGCTTCCTAATTGGTTTTCGTGAGTACGCCCTTCCCCAACTTGTGCATGACAGTCTTCATGCTATTTCCCCTTTCTCTGTTATTTCATATAAGTTTTTTTAAGGATTATATAAATTTTACCATTTCCGTAGATAAAAGTGCAGTATATTCAGTGTGTATTTTGCAGATTGCAACTTCTAAGCCAGATAAACAGGCTACATCATCCTGCTAACAAGCTAAAAATGTAAACAAGCATCATCCTGCTAACAAGCTAAAAACGTAATGACGCTCTTTAGCTTTGTTAGGTATAAATATAGCAGTGCCCCTAGAACAGAACTATGGCAAGAGCTTTACGAGGGACTGTCCTGAAGAACAAAAGAATCCAGAGCCTTCTTCCCAGTGCAAAGAAGGGAGTCTTGTAGGAGTTTAAGCTCTTCCTTTTTTTATTTTTCAGAGAAGCACCAAAAGAGGCAAACTGAGATTAAGAGAAATGATCATCCGTATGCTGATCATTTTGATAGTAAGTACCTGGATGCTGATATCTCAATGTGACAGGTCCCTGCCCTCAAGCAGCTAAGGTCCCTACATACCTGTACCCTGCCAATCCCTTTAATTCTTAGCCCCATCTTTTCTCTTTTGCCATCAGGTAAAACCCCAATTAACCAAAGTAACAGAGTAGGACTGACTGCCGCAGTTAGCCAGATTGCACTTTGTAAATGACCATTTTACTCAGGTTTGATTTCCCGCCACACCTTTGTGCCATCACTTCACAGGGAAACTTAAAGCTGACACATGGGAGTCCCCTCATTCTTCAGCTGCCAAAACTGCAAGCCTTACTTACATCTGTTCCTGTCTTCCTCCTCCTAACCAAGGACACTCCCTCTCCGGGCATTGGATCCCATCCCTTTCCACTTGCCAAAAACTCTACACTCTCAGCTATCCATTCCCTCTCCTGCATGATCACCTATTCCATGTCAGCTGGCTCTTTGTCATGGCTTTTAAGCATGTCCAAGTCTCTCCTCACAAAAGAGAAGAAAAGAATCTTTTTTGACCACACGTTCCCCTTCAGTTTCCCGTCATCTTCCCATCCCTTATCCCTTTCGGCAGGCAGACTTTAAAGAACTGCCATATTCAATGCCTCTGTTATTTGTCTCTCACTCCTCAGCCAGTCTGGCTTCCCTCTTCATCTCTGCTAAAACAAAAACCAGTAGTGAGACATTTCCAGGCCTCATCTTGCTCAGTCTCTCAGCAGCATTTGAAACTGCCACCCCCATTTCACTCTAGAAACACTGTCCTCCCTTGACTTCTGTGACCCACCCCTGACTCCTCCGCTTTTCCCACTGCCATTCTGGCTCACCCCCCTCTCCCAAGCTCCTTAATATTAGAGATCCTCAAAGCTCAGCATCTGATCCCATTTTGTTCTCCATTGTGCCCCATCATCTAGCACAAGGCACGGATTCACGCGCACAGCTCTAACTGCTAGCCATGTGCTCTTGACTCCCGCTTTTCTCCAACTTAACCCCTTCAGCTAGCTGCATGACAGTGTTTCTTAATGTCACTCAGTCTCCTCCAATTCCACATGCACAAGACCAAACAGTCCCACTTCCCAATCCCAACTGGGACCTCTTCCATTGTACCTGGGATTCCTCCTTGGCCCTTACCACACCCCAACACCCAGTGACTCGCTAAGCCCAGCTGGGGTTGTTTCCTGGGCATCTTTCACATCTCTTCGTTGTTGCTGACACCTTAGTCCAAACTACCACCTTCAGCCTGCTGTCGTCCCCACATTCTTCTGGCTTTTCTCGATTCTTCTGCAGCCAGAGTAACCTCTTCAGAAAGCAGAGCTGATTATGCCATCCCTCCCCGCCTCCCTGTTTTGCTTACCGCCAGCTTCCCATTGCTCTTGAATTAATGATCCAAATCATAAACACGCCTTTGCAGAGCCCTGCAGCTGCTTCCCCTGTCTGCTTCTCAAGATTCATCTGAAACCACTGGCCCCTCTGCCTGGGCTTCAGCCCACCCACCAGGCCTTGGCAGTGTCTTTTCTCTCTGTCTGCAGTTTTTCCCTCCTCCCTCTCATCCTCTCTTGCCTAGTTGGTTCCCACTGACCCTTCCTATCTCAACTCAGACAGTACTTCTGTAGGGATAACTTCCCATCGCTGTCAGGAGCAGGTTTCTTCATCTTCACAAAGAGTTGTATCTCTTTCCTTGAAGACACTTGGGACAGTCACTGTTGTGATTAGTTCCTGAGTGACATAAGTCCCACAAAGACAGAAACCCTTGCTGTGCGTGTTCATCATTGCATCTCCACACCCCACATAGTGCCTGACACATAGCAAGCACTCAAATTCAAATGTCTGTTGAAAGAATGAAGTGAACATTCTAATGTGTGAGAGATTCTAAGCACCACGTGTTTTAGTACAATTCTATTAATATTAAAATAGAATGAAAATCCTAGTAAAATAATGAAGCAAACTGAAAATTCAAGAGAATGTTGTGGCAGGGCAGCTAACAGCGGATGCTCACTCTGTCAAGACCTGCAGCCCTGCAGTGCATTGCATTCGCCACCACTTGGTGGAAGTAGAGAGGCATGGGTTGTTATCCTGAAGGTGACTGGGTGTCAATCTAGTAGTGAATTCAAACATTTGTCTAAAAATATACAAAGTTGCTCAATTACCAAAACCTAAATAGCATAGCTAGTCTGTAACCATCCAGACTTTGAACGTGGCACATTTTCATGATATCAAATAAACTTGAAATATCTGATATATTTAGGTGTGTTTCATTTATGGACTTTAGTGCTAGACAGGACCTTAGATGTCGTTGAGAAATCAGCTAATTTCTTGCCTTAAACATTTGAGGCCTAACAGCTAGTTGTATTGGCAGAACCAGGAACATACCTTTTTTCTCCTCTAGTATACTTCTCTCAATCAGTGTTTTTTTTTGTTTGTTTGTTCTGGTTTTGAAACAGGGTCCCACTCAATTGCCCAGGCTGTGCGATCACAGCTAGTGAGCTGTGATCACTGCATCAGTGCAGCCTTGACTTCCTGGGCTCAGCCTCCTGAGTAGCTGGGACTATCACAACCGGCTAATTTTTTTTTTTTTTTAAAGGAATGGAGTCTTGCCATGTTGCCCAAGCTGTTCTCAAGCTCCTGGGCTCAAGTGGCCCACCTCGGCCTCCCACAGCGCTGGGATTACAGGTGTGAGCCACAGTGCCAGGCCAATCAGTGTTAAGAATCATGACTTCCCTTTGTCAGTGTTTAGAATTACTGGCAAAATTTCTGAAGCAAAAAATTGGGACACGTAATCTTAAAAGTAGATAAAGTGTTTGAAATAATGTTCTTGAAAACCGTAAGATACTGATTATCTTAGCTATATGGTACCAGATTTATAAGCTTAGGGAAGAGCTTTTCTATTCATTTAACATTTTTGTCAAAGAGTTTAGAGTTGAGGCTTTTCATTTAATAGGAAGACCATAAACTTGGGTCTGGCTGATGTTTTCTTCTAACCAGACAGGCTGTGCTCGTGGCAGCAAGACTACAGAAATGGTGCTGTGGTCTTCTAAACTGCCCATGGACACTCATGAAAGTCACCTGTCCCACCCTGGTGACGTGAACCCTGACTACCTGTTCAAGCACATATCTGCCAGGTTTCTTCTCCACTGCACCCGTTTTCCCTTTGCATTTGATTAGTACTTTGGGAAGAGATACTCTGAGATGGTAAACCCCATTTGTTTTGTTTTTTTGAGACAGGGTCTCACTCTTGCCCAAGCTGGAGTGCAATGTTGGCATGATCACAACTCACTGCAGCCTCAACCTCCCAAGTAGCTGGGACCACAGGTGTGACCACCATACCCAGCTAATTTGTTTTAATAGAGACTGTATATCCCTATGCTGCCCAGGCTGGTGTATCCACCTTATTGGTATTGATATTCAAATTGCCCTATCTTTGACTAGTGGGAGCTTCTTAAAGCTGGCTTCTGTGCCCTTTGGATGTGCACCAGCGTACCTTCTCTTTGCCTGCCTCAGGGCTTAGGATCATCCATTTCTCCAAGGAACCCTGATTCATTATAGCAGAGAATGGTACTTAGTGGAGAATGTTGCACAGTGTACTCATTGTTTCTGGGGTGTCATTGCTTCTAGGCCCTCTCAGAGTGCAAAGCTTACACGCACACGTGTACATACATTTATAGATAGATATATATATGTGCATATCTATAGATATATATAGATATATATATGTGCATATAGATATATATGCACATAGATCTGTAACTGTATATACCTCCTTGTGTGTGTGTGTGTGTGTATGTGTGTGTGTGTGTGTTTGTGTATTTGAACCTAGCATTTCTCATTCTAATCCAGCACTTCAGGGTTCTTCCCAGCCTTCCCCCTTTCAGACAGTAAGAAATTTTACCCCATGAGTCTAAATATATTTATTTATTTCTAAAGTTAACTTGTTAGCGCTAATTAATTTCCTACCTGTGCCAGCTCCGTGATGCCTCTTTGTCACTCCTTCCCCTTACAATGACTTCACTTTGCTTTCTCAGCCTTCAGGCATGCGTCTGCCATTGCCTCCACAGGAAAACCACCTCCTTTAAAAAAAAAAAAAAAATGCATGGAGTGCTTATGGGAGGGTCTGCTGTTTTCTCCAGCTCATTTTTCCAAAGCAAACAATCCCACCAGCTCTCCTGGGTTGGTCATCTTTTTCCTAGATAAAGTCCAAGACAAGGTAAAGCAAGCTAATTTCTGGAACCATTAAGGTATTTCCCAAAAACACTTGAACTCACCATCTTCTCTGACTTCTTGAAATTTGTAACAGTGCATTTCATTTGCATTTAATAGCCTGCTTTTAGTCTCATTTTAGTTGGTGATGCTTTTCAAGGTACCTGTGTTAGTTCTGTATTGCTGCTATAACAAATTACCACAAACTCATTGGCTTAAAACAAATTTATTTTCTTGCCGCTCTGGAGGTCAGAAGTCTGAAATGAGTCTTAAGGGGTTAGAATTAGGATGTCAGCAGGACGGATTCCTTCTAGAGGATCCATTCCCTTCCCTTTTCTAACTTTTAGAAAAGCTTATATTCTGTGACATGTGACCCCTTCTTCCATCTTGAAAGCCAGCGGCATAGCATCTTCTCCCTCCGACTCTGCCTGTCATCACAGAGCCTTCTCACTCTGACCCCTCCTGTGTCCTCCTTAGACGGGCCCATGTGATTACATTAGGTCCACATGGATAATCTGGGATAATTCAGGATAATCTTTCCACCTCAAGACCTGAAATTGATCACATCTGCAAAGTCCCTTTTGCTATATATAGTAACACAGGTTCTAGGGATTAGGGCATGGACATCCTTAGGGGACCATTATTCAGACTACCACTGTACCAAAGGAAAGTCTTAAATCTTAAAAATGAGAATGTAACTCTTTTTTTAATGGAAGGTAATAAGCAACATGTAGACATTGATTGGGAAATGAACGTATCTTGGAGAGCTTTACATGTCTACACATACATGTCTACA